TTTTTTTTTGAGGCAAGGTCTCACTCTGTTACCCAGCCAAGCTGGAGTGTAGTGACACAATCATGGCTCACTGCAGCCTCCAGGGCTCAAGTGATCCTCCCACCTCAGCCTCCTGTGTAGCTGGGATTACAGGCATGCACCACCATGACTGGCTAATTTGTTTTTATCTTTTGTAGAGACAGCGTCCCACTGTGTTGTCCAGGTTCAGTATTATCTATTGTTAAAAGCCTGGCTCAAATCCCCCCATCTGCAGAAGTCTTTTCTCTCCACTCCTCCTTTGGACTTTTATAGACTGGAGACTAGACCACTCACCTAAAATTAACCAGATTCTGCCCCATAGTGACCCATATTGGTAATTGTGTGTCTATGCATGTTACTGAAAGATACAGAGAGACACTGAAAAAAAAAAAGAGAGAGAGAATGACAATCCCCATAGCCATCGGGCATGGCCCAGGCTTTCCCCTGTGTTTATACATCCTCTCTGACTAACTAGTACAATGCCTGATGCTTCAAAGGTTCTCAATAAGAGTTCGACAAATGGATGGTTGGACGAATGGACAGAAGTTTACATTTATAAGGACAAGGACCATGTCTCACACATTTTTTTTTTTTTTGTCTCACACCTTTTTATATCTCCCTGGTGTACTTGGAATCATACCATGTTCCTAACTTGTGTTGTCTAAGCACAGCTGTGCATATGCACACGCCATAAACACACACACACACACACACACACACACACACACCCCATGCTTGCATTCAGTCATGAGAAGTAGTACTCACAACAATCTTGCCCCCAGGCCCCTGGCTCCGAACACTGACTCCCAACCACTGGTTCTCCTTGCTTTCCTTTTGCACATCAGCTGGAGGCAGGACACTGGGAATTAGGGGAGGGAAGAGGAGCCCAAGTCCTCTCCTCCCCCATCACACGCTTCCCCCAATCCGTTCATGCAGGGCCACACCTCCCTGGTCGATGTCCACTCTGTAGCAGTCGGTCTCCTCCAGGCTCAAGGGACAAGCGAAGAGGCCACCAGTGCGATTCGCCTGCTGCCCAGGAAGAGCCAGGGCCTGGGGAGCACCCACCAGCAGCCTGCAAATGGTGCAAGGGCAGGAACAGGAGTCAGAGGGCAGAACGATCCAACCTCCTTAGAGCTGCCCAGGCCCAACCCCTCAGTATTAAACAGAGTGTTAAAAGACTAAAGAGAATGGGCAAATGTCAGTTTTCACAAACCCTGGCAAGGACAAATTAATATACTTGGTCATCACGTTGCACGTACACACTATCTGGGTGAGGGACCAACATGCATAGCAGATACACACACACACAAGCTAACTCAACAGCCAGCCCTGCTAGTCTGAAAGAACCGCCTGTCCCCAGCACCTGTTCCTGAGCAGGCCTTCCCTACCCGTCCTTGGCCCCATCCCCAAGCTCTGCCCTGCTCCCCAACCCAGTCCAGTTGAAAGCCAGCCAGAAATGCCAAGAATGCTGGAAGCAAAAGTAACAGGGGCCCAGACTGGCACCACAGTGTGGCTCAGGGACCAGTTTCAGAGGCCAGGCAAGAGGCTAGATATGGACCCACTTCCCCCAGATCAGGGACCCAGCAAAAACCCCACCTCCAAGAAATTGTGCCAGACCAGGATTCAGTCAGCCACTCCAGCTTGCACAGAGGTAGGGACAAGTTTCTCATTCTGCCTCCAATTCTACCCCATTCTCTTCTCCACATCCTAAATTCCCTTCCCCATCCTTCCTTCTCCTCCCCACATCCATGATTTCGCCTTCCCTTCCACCCCCGACCCCCACCCAGCCTTCTCTCCTGCCTGCCCCTCGGCCTCTTTCCCAGCTACAACTTTCTTGGCAGGACAATTTTCCATGATCACAGCCAAGGCAGCTTCCCCAGGGGAGCACTGTGCTGGGAAAGGAGGCTGCCTGGGTCCCCTGGGGCTGAATCCCCAGGCCAGGAGTGAAGGCGGGGTGAGGTGAGATGACTGACACCCAGCTGGCTCCACGGGTCCTCTCTTTGCAGAAGGAGAGACTCAGAAGTGGCAGCGGGACAAACCTCAAGGCCTCTCTCCCACACTCTTCTCCTCCATCTCCCTTCCTGGGGGGCAAGGCCCAAAACCGTGTTAGGCAATATTACAGACAGGCATCTGTGGGGCACTGTGCCAGGTCTGATGGGAAGGAGGAGGATGGCAGAGAACCACTCTTCCTTCCCACAACTCCTCCTCATCTCTTAGCAGCTGCCATCCCTTGTCAGAGCCACTGTCAAGACAGAGAAGGGGTATAGGGAGTAGGAGAGAAGGGCATTCAACTACTTATTGAGAGTCTGTCACATGCCAAGTCCTGTGTCAGGCGCTGATGGGACAAAAGAATCATATTTATTCAGCACCTACTATGAGGTCAGGTCCGAGGCTAGACTCCAGGGATATGAGAAACTCACATTCGTCACTGTCCACATATGTGCCAAGCACCAGGATAGGCAAGTCACGTGCATTATGTTATTTAATCTTCACAACAGTCCTATGAGATAAGGATTCTTTTCTTGTCTTTCAGATGAGGAAACTCACTCAAAAACATTAAGCAGTGATGCTGGAATTCAAATCCACATCGGCCTAACTCCAACACTTTTTCACTCCGCCCAATGACTGACCTGTCTCTAGGACACTGAGACCACCCCAGAAAAGGAAGAAGAAAGAGGGGAGGGTAGCCTGGGCAGAAAAGGAAACAAAGTGATACAGCCCTGTGCAAATAAATGGCAACCTTCAGGCAAGTCAGCTGTGCCCCCAACCTTCAAACATAGAGGTGGTCATCTCTCTGAGGATCAGGCTGTCTTTTCATCTTTGTGCTTGCCCCAAAGGGAGTGTCAGGATGTCTGTACCGAGCACACAGATTTTGTGGACTCATAGAGATACCCAGTGTCACAGATGGTCAGTGCATAGCTAAGCACCCAGAGAAGCTAACTTTGTTCTATGCGCACATCTCCTCTGGAGGCCAAAAGTAGGGAGGAGACGAGGGGCCCATATGGTGGAAAGAAGCTGAGTGCATAGACATGCCCAGTCCACTCTCGGTGGAGAAGAGGCCAGCTGATCCCTAGTGGAACAAGAGCATCCACCCACAGCCTCTCTAGTCCCTCCACCTCTGGTCCAGCCACACACACTCCTTCCTGGCTTCATGCCATGAGCCCTAGCCACCCCAGGCCTCTGGACAGCCACAATGCAGCCACTGCAGAGAGAAACAAATATATATTGGCAGCTAGAGGCAGAGGGACCCCCGGGAGCTTAGATAAGTGAAAACAAAGGAGTAGCCCACGACCACTGCACTTCGCGATTCTCCACACACTCCAGGCCCCAGCCCAAGTCCAGCCCCTCTTTAGCCCCTCTCAATCTGGGTGGCCCTCTGGGGAGGATGCTTGGCCTGGAAGGCTGGCTCAGCCAGGAAGGCCCTCTAGCCAAGCGTTTGGACCCAGGATCTCTGTAAGGCGCTCTGTGATTCACAATACAAGAATAGCAGTACTACCAACACTTTCACAGCACTCACTGTGGGCTATGCACTATTATAAGCATTTTACATACATTAAGAACTCTTAATCCGCACAACAACCCTATATAGTAATACTACTGTTTATATCCATTTTACAATTGAAGGAAATAAATGAGGCTGGAACCACATAGCAAAGGTTAGGCCTCAAAGTCGCATCCTAGAGCAAGACTGAAAGCCATCAAAGCAGACCAGATGTTCTTTCCATCAGTGAGTGCTAAGGCAGGCGACCTGCAACTCAAAAGCTAGGGACTAAGCAGGTGCCTGGCCTCTCACATGCCCCCGGCAGCACAGCACCCCCTGCTGGAGCGAAAGCAGCGTGAGACAGTCACGCCCTCTGGGAATGCCCCCAGCTTGGCTCTGGGAGACAGAATCAGGGGCCACCTTCAGAGAGGAGGGGGAAACGACAAGAGACCAAGCTATTAAAAATAACCTAGAATTTGCCTGGAAATAGCTTAGGGAGTTCAGCATGTCCTAAAAAGGCCTCCAGTCCTGGAACTCTGGCAGATGGGGGAAGAAGGGAGGGAGGGAGCAAATGTGAATGAGGAAGCAGATGGCAAACAGGAGAGGAGGTGAAGTCTGTTGCTTTCTACCTCTCCCAATGTTTTGGGGACCACCGACCTTGCTACCAGATGATAGGGATAATGGAAGAAGAAAGATTAGAGCTAGGCCCCCACTCCCTGAGCAAGTGAGGAGAAATGAGCTCTTGTCCCTGCTCCCTGCCCCCAGACCAATAGTAGGGGAGAAGACAGTCCCAGTGGACAGCGTTGATCCCAGTAATGGATACTTAGTGTGGCTTAGGCACCAGCTGAAGAGAGAAAAGCCCCCTAGCAGGAGCCGGTGAGAAGCTTTCTTCACCTCTGGCCTCTCTTTTTACAGTCGGACATGTAGCAAGAGCCAAGGATGCAGGCAGCATGACACAGGACCCACACAAAAGTATATCCATCTCCCACGGGTCCTGAACTGATTAGAAAGAATTAGAATTGTCCTCCATCCCTTACTCCTTCTGGCATTTCCCTACTGCAAGATTCCTGGAGTTGGAAATTTCCTAAGGAGGAGGAAGGGGAGCAGCCTGGCCAGCATCCTTCCTGGATCCCTCTCGCTGCTACGGCTGCTGCTGCTGCTGCTGCTGCTGCTGCTACTATTACCAGTAGTTTTGGAGGCTCAGTTTTCTGCCACTTTCTGTCACCAAGCCACCTACTGCAAGCTGCCAGACCTGCAGACCCTCTCCCAATCTTCCTGTGGTCCTAAGCCACTGAAGTGGCAGCTCTCTCCTGACCTTCCAGTGCCCTGCTGCCCTCATTCCATCCATGGCAATGCTCTGGCAGAAAGTTATTTCTGGAGTCTGCCCTGCATCCCTCTCATGGCACCCTCAACCTCTGTGTCCTTTTCATCTTCTCCCGTTCTAAGCAGACAGTCTCCCTTCCTTGCGGAATTCAGCCCTTGGAAGAAGCAGGGGAGCCGCAGGCCCTGGGACTGGATAAAGGATGCAAACTGGGGGAAAAGGCCCAGAAGCTGGTTTGCTGCCAAGACAAGAACCTTGCTCTCATCCCTAAAGCAAAATGCTGGGTCTCGGGGCCGGATAGTGCAGCTTCAGACCCAAGGCAGATAAGGCAAGGCTCCAGGTTGGGGTGTGAGATGTCTGTGGGCAGTCTAGGTGTTGGTGGAGCTGGAAAACAGAGAAATGAGGTGGCCTGCAGAGTGGGGAGGGGGCCGATCTGTGGCTCGGACATGGAGACTCTGGGCGGGGGCAGTGACTCACCAGCTCTGGGGTCGCGGCTGCAACTGCCGGTGCAGGGCCACAGAGAAGCCGAAGAGGCTGCCTGGCTCGCCCTCCTTGCGCAAGGCACCCATCACGTCCAGATTGAAGGCGACAGCCCGTGAGAAGAGCAGTTCGACGAGCAGGGAGCCAAAAAAGTAGCAAATCCAGGAGGCCCCCCAAGGGTCGCGGCTCCGAGCCCCGGCCATGGCACGATCCCCGCGCGCGCTCCCAGCGATTGCAGGGGAACTCTCGCGCGCCCCAAGCCCCAGGTCCCCCCAGGCGCGTCTCTGGTCTCCGAAGTCTCGTTGGTCTTTCTGAGGTCTCCCAGTCGTTCGCCCCTCCAGCCCTCCCTCCCGCGGTCCGCCGCCCCAGCACCCGCTAGGACAACTACAGCAGCCGCAGCTCGGGCGTCCACTCCGGCTCCCGCCTTCTCTCCCGGGGGCACCGCCCAAGCCCCTCCCCCGGCCCCGCCCCTCTCTCCCGCGGCAGGTGGAGACCCAAGTGCGTCGCCTAGAGGATGCCCAGGCTGGTGGCTGAGGTGGGAACTGGCCTTGCTGACCCCCCCACCACCACGCCCCCCAAGGCCAGCACCAGCTCCGGCTCCGCCCCCACACGGCGCTCTCCTCCACTTCTCCCCCAACTCCATCCCCAGCCTGGGAGTGGTGGAGGCAGCGCCCAGGAATTCGGAGAGGGAGAAGTACTGATAGAAAGAGAGAGGCCGAAATAGAAGAAGGAGAGTAAGAGATGAGAAGTGGGAAGACGCTAAAAGACAACCTGGGAAAAGAGATTTGCAGATAGAGAGGAAATGAAAGAGGAGCAGTCCTGGGCCTGGGTCCGGTGTGGCTCTCCGTTCCCCCTGGTCACATAGAGCACTCCTTCTGCTGTTGGGATCAGACTGCTGCCCTCCCCCCTCCTATCCCATACCCCGCCCCGAGACTGGCAACGACCACAGCAGTGCTAGCCACATCGTCATGATTCAAAGGAACAGAGAAAAAGACAGAGGCAGGAAGAGTGAGAGAAACTCGGGAGATATGGGGAGCAAATTGAGAAATGGAAAAAGAAAAGGAATGGAGAGGAAGAAAGACGGGCAAGAGGTTGGTTGACAAGGGATGGAATGAAGGGAGAAAAGAAAACGACTGGGGATGATTACAGGAAGAGGAAATTAAGCAGTGGGGAGCGGAGTGGGTGTCAAAGAAGCAAAGATGAAAGAGACTGGACCCAAGAGGCAGAGGGATGTAAAGGGTGTCCCCAGCTACGAGATCCTTCCCAGGACTGCACGTTTCCTATCCATGAAATGGGAGGAGATGGAAGGGGGCAGAGTACTGGGCTAGCTCAGCAGAACCTGGGTGGAGCTGAGACGGGATCTCCACAGGGACCCAATGGCTGTCCCTCTTCCTCTCTCTTTCCTTCAGGCTGGGACAGAAGCAAGGGGGTGGGAGGACACTTTCCAACTCTCTGCTATTTATAACTCCGATACAGAAATGGGGCCAGGAGGAGAGACAGGAAATAATTTGGCATAATGGGAACCTTGCTTGCTCCCACTTCCCCTTCCTTCACCTCCTGCTTACTGGTGTTGGTCTTGCGAATATACATCTGTCCATCTTCCCTTCTCTCTCTCACCATCTGGTTTTGACTCATCCCAAATTCTATTTTGTCATCATTCTTGTCTCTGTCACACTTGGAATCTCAGAATATTTCTCAATGTTTCTAATGTTGTCTCTGCCCTTCAAACACTATCACATTCTTATGATTCTCTCTTCTCCTTCCTTTTCTTAAAAGTTCCAGTGTGTGACCTACCGCATTCCTCTTCCTATGTTCTCTTTGTCTCTCCTACTTCATTGTTCAGGATTATACTTACTCGAAAAAAAAAAAAAGAAAAAGTAGGTTCTCACTCTGCTGGCCCTGGGATAGTGTTTACCTTGGGTAAGTTAACAGACATTTGGAAGTCTGGCCCTCCATTCTCCTTTTTTTAATTTCTTTCTTTCTTTATTTCTTTTTTTTTTTTTTTTGAGACGGAGTTTTGCTCTTGTTACCCAGGCTGGAGTGCAATGGCGCGATCTCGGCTCACCGCAACCTCCGTCTCCTGGGTTCAGGCAGTTCTTCTGCCTCAGCCTCCTGAGTAGCTGGGATTACAGGCACGTGCCACCATGCCCAGCTAATTTTTTGTATTTTTAGTAGAGACGGGGTTTCACTATGTTGACCAGGATGGTCTCGATCTCTTGACCTCGTGACCCACCCGCCTCGGCCTCCCAAAGTGCTGGGATTACAGGCTTGAGCCACCGCGCCCGGCCTTCTTTATTTCTTTTTTAATAGAGACGGGGTTTCACCATGTTGGTCAGGCTGGTCTCCAACTCCTGACCTCATGATCAGCCCACCTCAGCCTCCCAGAGTGCTAGGGTTACAGGCGTGAGCCACCGCACCCAGTTCCATTTTCCAATATTACACCTGTGGAGATCCCCTCCAAAGCACTAAAGCATCTCTAAACAGGTACTATAAGGAAATACATGTGCTGTCAGCAGGGCTGGCATGAGGATTCTACTTTCACCATGCACTCCCCATCCCTTTTATATCTCAGAGCCCCAGACAGTAGAGAAGAACTGATATGGGAATGCAGAATAGCAAAATCAGGATAGAACTGGGATAGAACTGGGATTACTGCCTCCACCCCAACTCCAAATGCCTTTAGAGCCCAAGCTGCCTCCTATCGGCACCTGCAGCTTCTGTCTGCCTCCACTCCCACTTGGCTGGCTTCTGTGATCCAGGGCTGAAATCGGATGCCAAAAATCTGCTTCTGACCTCCTCTGCCCAAATATTTGAGAAGTCACCTCACCACCACAGTAGGAAGGATCAGGAAAGAAGAGAGAGAGAGGCCACACAAAATTAGCCCAGCTATAAATAGAGGGGGCAAGGGAGGGAGGGGAACACACCAGAGTGCACTAGACCAGCCTATTAAATTTAGACATGTAGATTTCCCTCAAGGAGAAATGAGACCAGAATGTTGGGATAGAAGATAATATTGTAGGTAAAGAGGGAAATTAAGAAACCAGAGGGGGCCGGGCGTGGTGGCTCACATCTGTAATCCCAGCACTTTGGGAGGCCAAGGCAAGCAAATCACCTGAAGTCAGGAGTTCAAGACCAGTATGGCCAACATGGTGAAACCCCATCTCTACTAAAAATACAAAAATTAGCCAGGTGTGGTGACAGGTGACTGTATTCCCAGCTACTCCAGAGGCTGAGTCACAAGAATCGCTTGAACTCAGGAGGCAGAGGTTGCAGTGAGCTGAGATGGCACCACTGCACTCCAGCCTGGGTGACAGAGACTCCCTCTCAGAAAAAAGAAAAAAAAAAAAAGAAAGAAACTAGAAGGATCCAGAGAATAGAGTAAGCTCAACATTAAGATAAATAACCAGTCAGAGAACTCCTTGTATTTTAGTCAAGGGTTTAGGAATTAGTTAAATTAAAAACTAATGCTGAGCTGGGCACAGTGGTTTACACCTGTAATCCCAGCACTTTGAGAGGCCAAGGCAGGAGGGTCACTTGAGCCCAGGAGTTGGAGACCAGCCTGGGCAACATAGGAAGACCTCCATCTCTACAAAAAATACAAAAACTAGCCACGTCTGTGGTCCCAGCTACTCAGGATGCTGAGGCAGGAGCATCACTTGAGACCAGGAGGTCAAGGCTGCAATGAGTCATGATCTTGCCACAGCACTCCAGCCTGTGTGATAGAATGAGGCCCTATCTCCCAACAAAAAAATGCTGAAACTGTATTATTCCACTCGCATACCATTCTCAAAATGACAAAACTATAGAGATGAAGACCAGGTTAGTGGTTGCCAGGGACAAGGATGGAGCCTGGTGGGGACAAATATAAAGGAATAGCACAAGGGGGTTCCTTTGTGGTGATGGGTTTTGTATCTTGATTATGGTAGTGATTACCCAAATCTATACGATATAAAACTGCATAGAACTACACACATATAAATAAATGCATGTAAAAAAAACAGTAAAAACTGAGTAAGGCCTGCAGGCCAGCCAACAGTACTGTACCAGGCCAGGCTTGGTGGCTCACACCTGTAATCCCAGTACTTTGGGAGGCTGAGGCAGGTGGATCACTTGAGGTCAGGAGTTCGAGACCAGCATGATCAACATAGTGAAACCCCATCCCTACTAAAAAATACAAAAAAATTAGCCAGGTGTGGCAGCACGTGCCTGTAATCCCCGCTACTTTGTAGGCTGAGGCAGGAGAATCACTTGAACCTGGGAGGCAGAGGTTGCATGAGCCAAGATTGCGCCACTGCACTCCAACCTGGGCAACCGAGTGAGACTCTGTCTTAAAAAAAAAAAAAAAAAAAGTATTGTGCCAATATTAACTTTTTAGTAGTTTTGGTTTTAAACTGCAGCTACATAAGATGTCACCATTGGGGGAAACTGGGTGAAGGGTACACAAGACTTCCTGTGCTGTTTTTGCAACTTCCTCTGATCTATAATTATTTCAAAATAATTTCCAAGCCAGAAGTGGTGGCTCACACCTGTAATCCAAGCACTTTGGGAGGGAGGCAGGCGGATTACTTGAAGTCAGGAGTTTGAGACCAGCCTGGCCAATATGACAAAAACCCATCTCTACTAAAAATACAAAAATCAGCTGGGCATGGTGGTACATGCCTGTAATCCCAGCTACTCAGGAGGCTGAGGCATGAGAATTGCTTGAACCCAGGAGGTGGAGGTTGTAGTGAGCAGAGATGGCGCCACTGCACTCCAGCCTGGGGAACAGAGACTGTGTCTCAAAAAATAAAAATAAAAAAGTAAAAACTTTTGTGCTTCTAAGGATACCATCAACAAAGTAAAATGATAATCCACAGGATAGATTATCTGCTTCACTCCATAGAATAGATTAATCCACTGTACTCCAGCCTGGGCAACAGAGTGAGACTCTGTCTCAAAAAAAATAAATAAATAAAAATAAATTGAAAAATATAAACAAACAAAAGAAAAAGAAATGTGGATAGTATGACTGAGGAACTGAATTTTTAAAACACATTAAATTTAATTTAAACATAAAGGTTATGCCGGGCGCGGTGGCTCAAGCCTGTAATCCCAACACTTTGGGAGGCCGAGGCGGGTGGATCACGAGGTCAAGAGATCAAGACCATCCTGGTCAACATGGTGAAACCCCGTCTCTACTAAAATTACAAAAAATTAGCTGGGCATGGTGGCGCGTGCCTGTAATCCCAGCTACTCAGGAGGCTGAGGCAGGAGAATTGCCTGAACCCAGGAGGCGGAGGTTGCGGTGAGCCGAGATCGCGCCATTGCACTCCAGCCCAGCCTGGGTAACAAGAGCGAAACTCCGTCTCAAAAAAAAAAAAAAAAAAAAAAGAACATAAAGGTTAGGCCAGGTGTGGTGGCTCACACCTGTAATCCCAGCACTTTGGGAGGCTGAAGCAGGCGGATCATGAGGTCAGGAGTTCGAGACCAGCCTGACCAACGTGGTGAAACTCCGTCTCCATTAAAAATACAAAAATTACCCAGGCATAGTGGCCCAAGCCTGTAGTCCCAGCTGCTCGGAAGACTGAGGTAGGAGAATCGCTTGAACTAAGGAGGTGGAGGTTGCAGTGAGCCGAGATCACACCACTGCACTCCAGCCTAGGCAACAGAGTGAGACAATACATAAATAAATAATAAATAATAAAAGATTAATAATTTTTACAAAAATCTCCAAAATTTTATAAGTTGAGAAATGTCCAGATCCAGCCAAGATATTTGCCCTTTTAGCTCTTGTCTGAGTGGAAGCTGCGGCTTTCTCCTGCCCCTTCCCTTTTTAACAACTTCTTCCCCTCCGTTTGAGATCACTATTTTTCAGCTCCCTCAAATCATACTTTTTGCAGTTGTTGTCTCTAGCTTACAAGCAAACACTTCCAGAACACACACTTCAGGGCTAACTTCTCCCTCCACCTCATCTGGCAACAGAGGCTTGGAGCTTATGTCCCAGGGTCAGGTTTTCCTTCCCAGCACCAGCAACATGAGGACTTTTTCATTCCACCCTCCTCTCCAGCACTGGAATCCTTCTCCCTGCCTCTGAATTCTGGTTGTAGTCAAAGCTTGAACTATGGGAGTGGCTGGGAGAGAAAGAACACAAATGTGATTGAGGGAATTCAGTGGGGAAACAGCTTGACCGCTTTGGTCTTTGAGGATCCAAAAGAAACCCTTACACTTGAGAAGGACTGGGAGGTCACTTACCAAAGGGAGCCATTTAGACTGTCTTGAGGGCCCCTTTTCTTTGAGCACTGGCTTCTGGCCAACATTTGGAACTTGGCCACACCACCAACAACCCCCTCTCTTGAAGCCCAGCCAGATTTCCCAGTATGTGAAGCCTTCTTTACTCACTCTGTGTCCTCCCTCAGTCCTAACTGAACCCCTAACAACTCATCAGCTTCCAGCCCTGTTTGGCCCAGCCAGTCAGTTTGGAGCTTGCTAATTAAAGCTAACTCTGAAAGAGACCTCAAAAGAAGAGGGAAATCAGTGGAGAAAGGAGTATGGAGTTGCATTCATTCAGTCTAAGGAAAATAATCTGGGTAAGAAAATAATCTTAAGGTAGGAAATTGTAAGGACAGGTGAACAGAAAGGGACTTGAAATTTCAAGAGTCATTCTCCAGATAGATATGTATGCGACTTGTGTCCATCTCTACCAAGGACAAGTGAAGCTGAGCTTCAACCACAGCAGAAACTAAGGTTAGATAGTGAAAAATAAAGGCCCAGAAAAAGAACAGATGGAGGATAACCCTAGAGAGATCACTTGGGGATGCTAGATTACAGATGCCCCATGTCCTCTGCTCAGCTCTAGGGCAAAGGAACAGCCAGCGTGTGGGAGAGGAGGGTAAGGCTAATGTCTGCAGAATCCTGGCAGTCTCTATGCTGATTGTGAAAATGTCAGGCAGTCGTGCCAAGAAGGCTGAGGGTAATACAGGATGGGTTTGACACTCTCCCTGAGTTGGCCAAATCTTAACATTTAGAACTAACCCTTGAGACCCCCACACCAACCTCCCTCATTAGCCCTCACCCTCTGTTTCACTTATCCCATGTCACCATTCTCTTGACACTTCCAACCCATGTCCTTCTCCCCCAGGCCCCACAGCTCTGGAGGTGAGGCACCAGGCATTTCCATTCTGCCTCTATTTTGCTTGGTCACTGCAGTTGGAAGCTGGAGCCAGAAAGGGGGGAGGACTGGGCCAGGCTGCCCTGTGATGCTCTCACTCTTCCCGCTTCTATTGATCAGCCCTTCTCTGGAGCAGAGCCTCTTCCCAAACACTCCTCCCCTGCCAGGATTCCCTACAGTTCATGCCCAGCAAGCTAGAGGGGCATAATGATTAGAGACACAAACATTCCCAGAAAAGGGCTCTGGGTCAACCCTCCTGAGGTCTCAACTGTGGTTTATGCAGTGTACAGTGGTAAGACTCAGGCTCTGGAGTCAGATAGCCTGGGTTTGTATCCTAGCTCTACCACTAATGAACTCTATTACTTAACTGCCTCAGATTCTTCATCTACAAATTTGGGATACTAATAATAATACTTCACAGAACTGATCTAGGGATTAAATGAACTAATACATGTAAAGTGCTTGACCTATGATGAGTACTCAGGAAATGTTTAAAAAGAAGGTACAGTACACATATAATGTAGACACATACATACAAATAGTACCTAACGTTTTTATTAGAATTTTTATTTTGGCACTTAACGTTTTGCTTTATGCTGCCACTTAAGCATTTCATGTGCTTCTCCACATTAATCCTTTGACAGTTGCACACCTCCCAGGGTTTGAAATGCTATTCCGCAAATCGCTGAATGAATCATTGATCAGTAATTCTCAAATCTTACTCAGAAAAGTCAAGAATGTTTTCTTCTAACTCAATCAGCACCCATCTCTCCTCCTCCTGCAAGTAAATATAATGAAGTCAACTTCAACTATGCCAATGAATCACAAAATTAAGAATGCCAAAGTTGGAAATAGTTTTAGACATGGTTTAGTCCGGTGATTCTCAACCCTGCATACACATTAGAATCACCAGAACAGCTTTTAAAATATACTGATGTTTGGTCTCCACCCCTTAGATTCTATTTAATTAGTCTGGAATGAAGGCATTTTTATAAGCCTTGTGATTTTTGTGATTCTAATGTTTAGATTCTAAAGCTAAGCCAGGGTTGAGAACCACTGATTTAATCCAATCCCTTCTCCTAGTTTTACTAAAGAGAAAACTAGAATCCAGAGTGGTGAGCAACTTGCCCAAAGTCATCCAACATGTTAGTGCAAGGTGCACCGAGAGAGATTGTACCAATGGCAAGAATATGTTGATGATGTTTATAATTGTTCTCATTGGAGTTCATCCCGGAAGCATTTCTTTTTAGTTCACAGAGGCCTTATATAAATTACATTTTACTTTGGCACAGCACTTACGCTTCTGCTAAGGCTGAAATGGGTTCGCATTCCTGACCACAAAAGGACAGAGATGAAATTGTACATTCACACAGCCCGCCCAGTTAGCCAAGCTCCCTAGGAGGCCGCCCGAAGCGTCTAAAAATGCTTCTCTACAATTATCACCCACAGCTGAGAGGCTTCAGTGGGGTAGTGACAAGAAAGAAGGTTGGGAGAGAGAGGAAAGTATTCTCTCCTTGAGGGAGGGAACTGGGAATCAACGGAGAACCAGCTAGCACTGCCAGGAGGTAAGGAGAGGGAAGGAAAAGAATGTAAATGAGTCCAGGGAGCTTCTGCTCCCTCAACAACCAAACAGTGACAGCCTAGCACCACCGGCCCTCGAAGCCTGAGATCCAAAGGCAACGTTAAAAACTGGCTTGGCAATATGGGTACCTTCTTCTTCATTCCAAAATGCTTCTTCCAACACGCACCAAAGAGTAAAGGGTTCACCCGCCCTCCCCAACCCTCTACCTCCGCTCCTCGCCAAGATCTTCTTCACCCAACGTCTCAAAAGAGGGCGGGTCCCAACCTCACGTGACACTGCGGTCACGTGACATGGCCCCGGGGAGCCGAGGCGCGCGTTCCAGCTTCCGGAGCCGGAGGGGGCCCGGCGTCCCCAGCCCCCAGGCCGACGCCACCATGCTGTCCCGCCTGCTAAAAGAACACCAGGCCAAACAGAATGAACGCAAGGAGCTGCAGGGTGAGCCGAGTATCTCCGTTTTCTCTCCGGCCGCGGCCTAGCTTCAGCCGGGAGCCTGGATCTCGAGTGACTACCCATACCCAGGGAAGGACGCCGGCTAGCGGGCCACGGGCACGGGGGAATGGGAATTTCAGGGCGGCCTTTTTTTTGAAACTCCTTTCCCTTGCCAGCTGGCTCTGGTCGCTGGGGCAACATTCCTGTCCCCTCGACAACGCCCCCAACACCAGTCTCGGCCGCAGCTTAGCCCCGCCCCTGCCCCGGAGCGCCCCGCCTGTGGCCCAGGGAGCCTGTCGTCCTGGCGGTGCGAGGCAGCGCCTCTGGAGGGAGGAGGGTGTGGGGAACCCCCAGAGATGGGATTCTTGGGAGGCCCGAAACCACCGGAACGGAGGTGGGGCACTTGTTCGCTGAGCCCGGGCTGGGAATCTTGGAGTTACAGATTCTTCGGCCAAGATAGTGGAGAAAGAGTGCCTGGGAGTCAGGAGTCCTGGGCGCTGCCACTGACTTCCTGGTGTCCCCGAGTGAGTCCATTTCCCTCCCAGGGTACCAGTTTCCTCACCTCGAAAATGAAAGAGGTTGCTCTATGTTTTGCAAGGTCCTTTTCAGCTCTGGCATTCAGAGATTAGTTAAGAAATTTCGGCAACTAGAGTCATGAACAGATAGGGAACCTTTAACACTATCCCTCAAAAAACCAAGTCTCCCCTCCAGTTCCTTTTCTCCCTCTCCCCAGAGAAGAGGAGGCGAGAGGCTATCACTGCAGCGACCTGCCTGACAGAAGCTTTGGTGGATCACCTCAATGTGGGGTATGAACCTCTTCTCATCAACGCCAGTTTCCTCCTTCCCCACCCCGCCCAAGTTTAGGCACTGACAAGGTCTGTCCCTCAGGCCGCTGTCGAAGGGGTGGGATGGTGCACTCATTCCCCTATCCTACCCCGCCCCTCCCACCTCTATGTAGAGAAACTTGAGCCAACTCTGAGCCCTAGCACTGGGCAAGGGAGGAACAGCTGCAGTGGTTAGAGAAGCAGGCAGATTTCCCCTTCCCACATTAACTTCCCTGGCATTTTCAACTTGATGCCATCTGTCCACCTCCCTTCACCCTTCCAAGTCCAGCTGTCACTTCAGCAGGAGGGAGAGCACCCTCCTTCACCACAGCTTACCACCCTCTCCTTCTCTGCCTCCCACCCTCTGGAAAGCCTGGGGAGCAGCTGGCAGGAAAGAGGTGGCACAGCTGGTGATGGTGAGAGTAGAACCTGTGCCAGGAGCTCTGGCAGAACCAGGCTGTCTCTTACCTTCCTGCTGGGTCTGCAGGGGCTACACCCTGCCGCAGCCCTAAATGACAATGCCAGTAACAGCCAAAGACCTGGGAAAGAGCAAAGAATGTTATCTCTTGACCCCGAGTGAGCCAGAAGTGTGCGGAGATGATTTGCTAGTCTGCCTGTTGGAAGAAAGGCAGGATGGTGCCTTCCACCCCAGGTCAAATAGAACACCTTGGTGTGAATCCAGAGACTGAGTCATCCAAATGAGCCATGCAGGGGCTGGGGTCATCTTCGTTACTCATCTTGAGGGGAGGTTGAGAAAAAGAAGGTTGTGGCTGGAGCCCCTGGTCTCCCTTTTCTCCAGGCAGCTCTCTACTCAGTGTGAATATAGAAGCAGGTGGTCATTGGGGAAAACCAGGAGTTCAGGAACTCTCAGGGGAGTCTGTTTCAGTTCCCACCCGACCCTTGAGGGTGACCCAGCAGTCTCCCAAAAAGAAGGGACAAGACCTGCCCCTCCCTTTTCCTCCCTCCCACATTGGCGCCTGCTGGGCTCATCATTTGTGAGATTGGCCCAGGCTTCTCCCACTTCTCTTCCTTTGCTAGAGCCCACCCCACTTTCAGCTTAGAGGGCAGCTAAGCCAAAGCCAGATTAGAAAGGGTTTTGTGTTGCTGCCCACGGCTCCTCTCATTCCCCAGAAAGGAAAACAAAGGCTCAGTCTCTCTTGGCCCCTGTCAGGTGTCCTGCCCACTCCCTCAGCCCCCACCAACCCCTTCCCCCCTCCAGCCCTCACACATTCCAATGGGTGGGGGCACCGGATGTGAAACTCCTGGCTGACTAGAGCTTTGGGGTGGGAAGTGAAAAATTCGTCAGCCAATAAAGGAGAACAATTATTGCAGGGGTGGGGTGGGGGAGGGCAAAAAACATTGGCAGAAGGTGGGGGACACCAACCCCATGGTAGTAAAACCACAGCATGTGCCTTGATTGAAAAGAAAAACTAGTGCCTAAGGCAGAAGGGAGGGAGCGTATGTGTGTTCCTTGATCTGTGTGGGCGAAGGCGAAGACTTGGGAGAGCAACTGAGAGCAGAGAAGAAACCCCTGGGATATCCTCTTTTGACCCAGGGTTCCTGGGGAGGGGGTTTGTTCTCCCATCCTACCCCAGATTCAGGGAGGGGCCCAGTTTCCCTCTCCAACCTCTTGCATAGATCCCTAGGCTTCCAATCACTGCCAGATGTGCCCTTCCTGTTGCATTTTCCCGGTTTTTCCATGCCCCTTTTCCCTCCCAGCTTCTTCCTCAGGGATATCGCCCTCCCCCCCACCCCCCGTTTTCCCTCCCTTCCCCCATTCAGCTGCAGGAACTCCTTTTGGGGGTTGGAGCTGGTATGTTTCTAGTCAGCTCCCATCTTGGCTCTCCTGGGAATCCTGGGAGTGAGAGGGAGGAGCTGGATTTATTTGCATGTACTGGTAGTCATTTGCATCGCATCCAAAAATGGCCAAATGATGAGCCCCGACTCTTGGCTGAACTCCCACTGCTGCAGTGGGATATTAGTCCTGGAGACCACCCCCAGCTAGTTGGGCGAGCTGATCTCCTCCCTCCTCCAACCCCCTAGTGTAGCCCAGGCCTACATGAACCAGAGAAAGCTGGACCATGAGGTGAAGACCCTACAGGTGCAGGCTGCCCAATTTGCCAAGCAGACAGGCCAG